CAATGCAAAAAAAACCCGAATTTCACCAAAAAATTGGAATTGAGCATCAAGGCCTGCGGTGTGAACGTAGCTAAAGTAACTGCAAGACCATGATATATAGGGTGAGAGCTGGGTAGCTGTTTTCAGGAAAACATGTTTTTGCTCTTCTCCCGACTGGTTTCGGCAAGAGTAGCCTGGCTTGTGGTTGTGTTTTTGTCGTCGCTCTGTTAGTACGTCATATGCTTCGTTGATCTGATTGGTTTATTTGGCCCGTCTATCACCAACATAGGCCAATCAGCTAACCAGTATTTTCACCCCTTCCCAAAATTACTTCAACGGAAGGTTTCCAGATGGATATGCGGAGCAAATCCATCTGGCGGAGTCAGGTTAACAGTGAGCTAACTTTGTGATTTTGACTTAGAATTGGACAAATTTTTATTGTCTTTTGTATACACAGAGTGTATATGGAATGAAATTTCAATGCATACAGCTTTTCAACAGTAAAAAGCAGCTTACAACAGTGAAATAACTATTTCCATTTATAAAGTTCAGCAGTGATCAGAAGAAGAATATGGTGTAATGCAGTAGAAACATTGAGTTCTGTTTAAAACGGATTTAAAAACTTTGCCAAGCTCAGAGTCTGATATAGAGCCTTCATGGCATCTTTTGTATTACCACTGGGTGGCACACATGCAGCAGTGATGCCAACAACAGTGAATTCTCTAGGCAGATTGAAAGGTCCTAACAGTCAAAAGCTCGATGTCCAGAGAGCAGTAGCTAGCGACCAATCTAGCATTTTTACACCAGTTGTTGATGTGGACGGATAACCCCCCCCTCCTCTGGTCTTACCGCTGAGTTCAAAGTTCCTATCAGCGCGGTACAGTGTTAGCCGTCCATGCTAATGGTATTATCCGGTAAAGAGTTGAGCCATGACTCGGTCAGTATGATGGCGCAGCAGTTACTAATCTCCCTTTTTGAAGAGATTTTTAGTTGAAGATGGTCCGTTTTGCTGTCCAGTGAGCAGACATTGGAGAGAAGGATTGAAGTGAGCGGTGGTCTGTGTGGAATTCTTCTTAGCTTCGCTGTTAGCCTGCCTCTGCAGCCAGGCTTACACAGCCTTTCACACCGTTTCCGCTTGCTCTTTCTCCGGTGTGTCCTGCTCTATGGGTCCGCTGCTCTGTGCGCGTCTGCTTGAAGCACTCCAAAGCTTTTTACATGTGAGAGTGGCTGTATCTATGAGTCCAGGAAACGCACTTGATGACCGTAGCTCCAGCAGGCTTTGGCGGTCATAGATACATAGTTTGTTGCATTCTAGCTGGCATATTTTGTGCAATTGTCAAGAGCTGTTGCATATCTGCTGCCTTTAGTTCCCCCCATGTTTCTCTTAGTCATATCAAGCTACACAACTTTTAACTTTGTGTCAAAAATAACAGTTTGTTTTCTACAAATATATTGGCTGTTTTCTTTGTTTAAAATCTCCATGAAAGTCAAGATGTTCCATTTGTCCTTTCCTGCTTTCAGATTTTTATAAAATACTGAGACTTTTTGTATCACTTTATTAAATGGCAGATCTCAGACTGTCTTAGAACGCAGTACTTTACCTCAAGACTGAGAATGATTGTTTTCCACTTTCAGCTACTTTAAATAGCAAATGAATCATAACATATTGGCAAATATGGATCTGGCGGTGCGCTGCCAATGGAATTCCCAGCAGCAGTTACCTCAGGCCAGGTCACCTCTTAAGGGTTTTCCACCACTGTTCTTGGCGGCTGAAATTAGATGGAGTGTTTTTCAGGTATGTGGTACAGTCCAAACTGCAGGCTCCAGGATAATAAAAGCAAATATATTCTGCCGCGAGGTTTCGACATTTTAATTTAGGCGTTAATAAATGGTTTCAGAGGCGTGATCATAGCGCTCTGCATCAGCAGTGCTGTGTCTGACTCCCTGCCAGCTTCCAGATCAGCTTCTCTGATTGGTTGATGTGGCGCATCGAGCAGCAAAAAATACATTTTTCCATCTACAGCATCTGCTGCAAGTGAAATTTTGAACATTTGAGCTAATGTTCCAAGGGAAGTTAGTGTACCAAATTTATACATCCCAAAAACAGGGTGTACAATTTGTCATTTTTTAGTAAAGTGCGTGCGTGCAATGTAGGCCCGTATGCATTTCTAGGTAAATGCCTGTTCTTAAACTGTTTCCTATTTCAAATCTTCCCTCAGGTATGAATACATTTTACGAATGCTCAAGACTAACATAGGAGACTTGTGCAATCAGTCAGCTGTTATTCAAACCTAGTTTTTCACTGAATAATTACATTTGTTGTTAGCCGGAAGCAATGGTCCCTTTTATTAGGCTACATCATTAAATATTGTGCAATCAGAAATAAAAGTCTTATTTGCAGACGACGGAACCATCGGTCACTTCTCCTGCAGCTGGCATATCTGTATCCAGGGGACACATTTTTTATTTGTTCCCATTGCGTCAAAAGAAACAATAGGGAGAGATCAAGCTAATATTGAAATAACATCTGGAACAGAAAATGGATAAAAGTATTTTTTCATTATCCCGCTTTTATCTCCTCTTTCTTTCATCTTTTCTCCTTTTTTTCCTGTTTTTCCTCTTCTGTTCTACTTACATTGCAGTGTCAATATAATCTATAAAACTCCCTGTATAATTATAATAAAGCAATTTATATGCATAAAACAAGCACAACACTATGGCGATAGCCGTACTGCTCCACAGCAAAATCTGTTGGGCTCTTATTGGCATTAGGGTTGTCAAAAGTATCGATACTCAATAATGTATCGATACTGAAACGTTGTATCCGGAAACAATACTCGTTTTTAAAAGTATCAATACAGTTCTGGAAACCTGGATGACCAACAACCTTCTGAAACTCAACACCCACAAAACCGAGCTCATGGTGGTGGCCCCAGCACCGCTGCTCAGTAAGGTTGGAGACCTCACTTTGGTCATTGATGGCTGTCCCACCTCCCCATCGCCCAAAGTGCGGAACCTGGGTGTCATCTTGGACTCCACACTCTCACTCAGTTTCCACATCCAGAGCATCACTAAATCTGCCTTCTTTCACCTCCGTAACATCTCAAGACTCCGGCCGTCACTTACCGACTCAGTCACCGAAACTCTCATTCTTTCATTTGTCACCTCCCGTCTGGACTACTGCAATGGTGTCCTGTCTGGGCTCTCCTAACAATAAGACATGCATTCAGTTCACTTGCTGGCTTTAGTATTACAGCTTTGGTTTAAATTAGAAGGTTATCAAACCAAAAAGTTTGTTTCTGAAAATTATTTGTAATAATTATAAGAAAAAAAGTGGAAAAACATTTTTTTTTTTAAACATTTTGCTTCAATTCACAATCATTAAAAACATTTTTTTAAAATATTTATATCATACTTAATGAGGACTTTTAGCTTTGTCTGAATGAGTTTTGCCATTAATATTTTTATGGTAGTTTGTTGTAAGAGAGATAAATAAAAGGAGACTTTGCAGAATGTTGTGTTATGTTGGTTAATGTAAAACTCATTAAGCATTAATATTGTATATTTCACATCTAACCTCCAACCAATAGTTGTTGACGGTCTTGCTTTTGCTAAACCTTTTTTGACACCATTTTTTATTATTTTCATATTTCATAACTTAAACTTAAACAGATTTGTCATTTTGTTTACACAAGTGTAAAACAAAACAAAATTTGGTTTGGAACAGCTCTCTGGACAATTTTGTCTTTTTTAAAGTGCATCCTTGTAAAAAATAGTAAAAATATATATTAAAAAACAGTAAATTAAACATATGACTGTAAATTTACAGTTCTAACATTTTCATTTTTTTATATTGTATTATTAATATAATGATTTTTTTATATTCTTACTTCAGAAAAATTTCGACCACATCATTTACAGCTCTTGTGATTTATTTACCACTGCTTGGCTTTTAATGGTCCTTTAATTCTGCTGCTCAGCTCACAGTTAGCAGAGCCTCGATCCCCATTTTATGCCATTTAATGAGAATAAACACCGTCTGACTGGTGCTCCACGTCCTAAACCATTTTTACTGAAGTTAAGAAATCCCACAGTTGGATAAAAATGGAGCAAAATGAAGAGAAACACGTGAAATTATTTCTCCCTTTTGGATCAGTTCTTCATTATTCATGAAATGATACTGATTTCTGATTAAACATATCCATCAAATGGCAACTCTAAATAATTTATTAGTTTATTTTAAATAGGATAAAGCTGGCAGCAGGCTGACATATGTACCATCAGCTGTTAAAGTGAGATGTTACAACATACTATACTATAAAATGTGTTTAAATGATCTTATTTTACCAAATTTTTTTTTTTTTTAAATCAGATTTAACATATAAGAACTTTAATAGCTGAGGCATGTTTGATAAGGTCAGGAGACCTGGGATCAGATTTAGTGGACAGCGAGTTGACAGGTATCTGAAGCTCTTCCACCTAAAAAAAATATGTTTTTTTTACATTCCCATTAAGGGAACGAATATTTTAGTTCTAAATCTAAAGCATTTCTATGTGTTATTTTTCTGTCTGTCAAATGAAGCAACTATGGAAAAAAATAAATCAGGCCTGGGCAGAAAGCTGGTATATTTCCTAGATTATTTCAATATAAAAATTAGAAATAAAAATGGATACCGTTTATCTCTGTTACATCATTTAATTTTCAGAACATGTTTTTTTGTTGTTTTTAGATCTGCTTCTGTGCAGACCTGCAGAGTCTGTTCTGAAAGACTCATGGGTTAGCAATGATTCAAAGTTGACAGTTAATTTTCCATGTCAGATCTGGACAGTCTGAGGAAAACCACGTTGTGCAGAGAACCGCTCTGTTTTCCTCACCGGGCTCCCGGCAGGAGAACTTTCCCCGACAGGAGTCGTGCGGCTGTTTCAGCTGACATGCGGCCGCTACTGTAGCTCTCTCTCTGCTGTACAGTGTGTCTGCATTGCGTCGAATCCTCCCCCCCTCCTCTCCCTGTTTTCTCTCGCTCTCTCCGTCCCTGATTCACTCACTCCTCTTCCCTCTCCTCATGAAATTCTGCAATATGCTTCCAAATTAACGGACACGTATCTGGTCTTCGCAGCGGGATCCTCTACCTCCTTTTCCCTCCTCTCCTCCTCTGATTTTTCCAAACGTTTTTTTTTTCTTCATGCAGCAAAGTCCAGTCGTTCCCATCAGAATGTGAGCTTCAAGCGTATTATTCCTCCTCTCCCTTCTCCTCCTCCTCCTCCTCCTCCTCCTCATTTTCCAGTATGATTTTAAGAAATAGTCAGTCTGGATTTCTGCTGCTGCATTCACAGCCGTCAGAAACCACCTCCTCTTCCTCCTCCTCCTTCTCCTGCAGGCTGCACCGACTGACGCTGAAAACTAACACCAAGAGGATACGGATGTTGACCAAGACAACATAGTCTATTAATATTTCAGAGACACTGTAAAGAGATATCTGCTGGTATTAAAGCCAAAGTTGAGGTGGGCGGCTGGTGAGGACGATCAGTTCCATCTGCAAACTCAGGTACGTCTCATTCCTGATGTCCGTCACTCAGAGGAGATTTCATTGCTGTGTTGTGTGGATGTGTAAAGGCTTGTTTGAGTGGGAAGCTGATGGAGGAGTGAGAACTGTGGGTGCAGAGAGGCAGTGAAGCAGGGCTGCAAACTTCAATGCTGATGTATGCGGTAAAATGAAGCTGTTGCGGCACATGTTTCTGGAGGTGCCGTTGCATTCTGGGGGGAAGCTCATGTTGAGAAATGTCTCTGAGTGAGTTTTTGTCTTTACTGAGGACACTGGGCTTGATTTCTTTCTCTGTTCCAGGTGTCAGACGAGGCACTGCTGAGGGAACGTTCAGTTCAGAGATGATGGCAATGGTGAGGATGATGATGGTGATAGGGAGGGAGGCTCTGCGCATCTCCTGGCATCTGTAGGAGCGTCTCCACTCCAACCTGCCCCCACCCCCTACACACCGTTTCCCCTTCCTGCCCATCACCCGACAGGAAGGATGACTGTGGTGTCCACAGAAAACATGGACGATACCTCCACCCTGCCGGGTCACCCACAGGACCCCTACCCGCTCGACGACGACCACAATGACCATGACTGTTGTGAGCGGGTCGTTATTAACATCTCTGGGCTGCGTTTTGAGACCCAGCTGAAGACCCTTGCCCAGTTCCCAGAAACACTGCTAGGGAACCCCAAGAAAAGAATGCGCTACTTTGACCCCTTAAGAAACGAGTATTTCTTTGACCGGAACCGTCCCAGCTTTGACGCCATCTTGTATTATTACCAGTCCGGAGGACGACTGAGGAGGCCAGTCAACGTCCCTCTGGACATGTTCTCAGAGGAGATAAAGTTTTACGAACTCGGTGCAGAAGCTATGGAGAAATTTAGGGAGGATGAGGGATTTATCCGGGAAGAAGAGCGGCCTTTGCCAGAAAAGGAGTTCCAGCGGCAGATTTGGCTCCTCTTTGAGCATCCGGAGAGCTCTGGGCCAGCCAGGGGGATTGCCATCGTCTCAGTTATGGTCATTCTTATTTCAATTGTCATATTTTGCTTGGAGACTTTACCGGAGCTAAAGGAGGACCCTAATGACCGCATTCACCAGGTGGGCAACACCACCATGTATTACAAGGCAAATGTTCTAACAGACCCTTTCTTTGTGGTGGAGACGCTCTGCATCATCTGGTTTTCCTTTGAACTAATAGTCCGTTTCTTTGCTTGCCCGAGCAAAGCAGCATTCTTTAAGAACATGATGAACACTATTGATATTGTGGCTATAATCCCATACTTTATCACTCTTGGCACAGAGCTAGCTGATGACCAAGAGAACAAGGAGGGTAGGGGAGGAGGGGAACAGGCCACTTCTCTAGCCATTCTCAGGGTGATTCGTCTTGTGAGGGTATTCCGGATATTCAAACTCTCCCGACACTCCAAAGGGCTCCAGATTCTGGGGCAAACTCTCAAAGCAAGCATGAGGGAGCTGGGGTTGCTCATTTTCTTCCTCTTCATTGGTGTGATTTTATTTTCCAGTGCAGTTTACTTTGCTGAAGCTGAGGAAAAGGAGTCGTTCTTCACCAGCATCCCAGATGCTTTTTGGTGGGCTGTGGTGTCGATGACAACCGTTGGCTATGGGGACATGTACCCTGTGACCATTGGAGGGAAAATTGTTGGATCTCTTTGCGCCATTGCTGGTGTGTTGACCATTGCACTGCCTGTGCCAGTCATTGTGTCCAACTTCAACTACTTCTACCACCGGGAGACGGAAGGGGAGGAGCAAGCACAGCTGCTCAACATCAGCAACCAGAACTTGGCATCAGAAACCAACTCAAGCCGCCGCACTTCCTCTGTTGTCAGCAAGTCGGAGTACATGGAGATAGATGAGGACTTGAACAACAGCATTGATAACTTTAGGGAAGCAAACCTTAGGACTGCCAACTGCACTGCCCCCAGCCAGAACTGTGTTAACAGGGGGAAGCTGCTCACCGACGTGTGAGACAGTACCTGGCACACTGCTGTACATATTGTAGAAATCTCTGGATGCTTTAACTATAGGTGCATTTTAATCTTTTTTTAAACATTATTCTTTTAAAATAGACTTTAATACATTCATTAAGAGGCAAAACTGAGCAGATCTTGGCAAAAAACTTGTGTTTTAAATTTGTATTCATTCCAAAAATATACCATGGCCTTCACAGGCAATTTTGCATATCAAATTCAATTATGTGTGACCAGGGACAGGATTCAGATGTAAGACACCATCCCGGACAAGTCCCCAATAATTTTACCTGGGTCCTAGGGTTAAAAAACAATATATATATATATATATATATATATATATATATATATATATATATATATATATATATATATATATACTTTAGCAAATTAATTGTCAGATTTAATCTTAAAAAAAGGGGTTACTCCATCAATTTAAAATGTTTGATTTGTTTGGCTCAAGGGCAGCTTTTAGGTACATAAGATTACTGCTAGGTACACCAGACAGTACCCAATTAATAAAACTAATTTAGATACATAAATACATACTTCTTTTTGTAAGCCTTTAAACTGTGTGACATTATTTGTTTAAAAAAAAGGCGTTAGACAACACATTTCAAAAGTGGCGCTCAAGTATCCTCTTCCAGAGGTGTGCTTTCTCTCAATTTTATTCACACAAAACAAACCCCCAAAAAAGTCATGACCTGGCTTCTATGCTGCCAATTTATTCCTTATGCCCTTTTCTATCTGTGGGCATTGTACCAGGTACTGACATTCTATTTTGTATTCTACAGAAGCCCCCCCAAGTTTAATTTTATAGCTAGGCCTTTTCATATCAATAGCTGTGGGGGGGTTTGGGTTTGGTTTTTTTTTTTACTGTATTAGTTGTTTTACTTGATCTATACTAACTGATTAAATTTAAACCAGAGACTAGATTTCACATTTTGGAAAAGACTCAATATAACTAATATGATCACTGTCTTAATATTCTTCCATTTAATTTTTAATTATGCTTAAAAAGTTAGTGGGGTGTCAACTGCCAATTTCAGATATCCAACTTTCTTCCTTTTAGATCATTTAGATCATCTTACATGTGACAGGTCCTATTCTTTATCTTAATCAAGCCTTTAGTTACTAAACAACCAGATTTTTCAGGACAGTCATGAATTGACAGATTTAATAAGAAATGTATTAGTCTATAATAATATGTTAGTCCAACATATTATTTATTTTTATCTCCAAAATTAATTCAGATTCAGAAAAGAGCACTGAAAGTAAAATGATTATGAATTTTAATCCTGGACAAGACCCCAAATAACACAAATATTCCTAATACAACCTAACTACTCTATTTACAAGTCTAAACTGTAACTTATTTTCATTGAAACAAACAGATGTATCTTTTAATTAAAGGGATTGCACTGCAATTGTTTTTGTCTCAAGGCTTGTTTCAGGTGTAGGTCCTAATTTTGTATGCCAAGCTGCCAATTTACAACCTAGTTCCAAAATTTTACGATATTCATATGAATATACATTCTACAAAATCATCCCATGAATGGTAAGAGATATATATATATAACATCAAACTTAATGGGTTACTTAATATATTTGATCCTGAAATAAGCTTTAGGAGCAAAGTGGTTCCTTGTTTTGTACTCCAGACCCAAACTAATGAAGATTTGGTAAAAATGTAAAAAATATGTTACTTATCATTTTATATCAAAACTTTATTGCCTCGCATGTGCCTACACTATCAGTTTAAGACAAATTTATTTAAGTGGTGAGGTGAAGAGGCATGTTTAGGGTAAAAGAGGTCTTGTTTTTATCATCAGACAAACCTCAGCAACTATCAAACCGATAGTGAGGAAAGAAATTGCGTTATTGTAATATGAATTCTTAAAATTTAGAAAATGTAAAACAAAAAGGTATGGATAAAAATGAATAAACCCCCTACCACTTAGCAGAAATAACATCAACTCCACACTGCCAATACAAAGCCATACTGTTCTCTGCCATCATTTAAAAACATGTATTCATATGAAACAAAAATGAAATTAGAAATATGTGCATGTTTTTAAAATATATGAGAATGATCAAGTAGCTCTCTGGGACGTGTAGTTTTCTTGTAACTTGACTGCAAAATTCTTATCTCAGTCTTTGTGAACTCAGTGTTAAAGAATCAATCAATTTTTATCTCTAATTACTGAAATACTAAATTGATGGAGTTCCTCTTAAATAACGTGCAAAGATCTGCTGTAACTTAAGTTTCAGTTTAAAGCTATTTACTGCAACATTTCACTGCCATCTTTTTTAAAGAACATACATGTCAATTTGTAATATTTTAACTGCTCCAGCTCTTAATGGCTGGAAAACACAAATGCAACATTTGTGGGGGGAAAATTAAAGCACTTTATATTGACTAAAAAAGACACATTGAAACATTTAGGAAAGTAATATTTAAATATTAATGATAAGAAGTGTTTTATCTCTCTTATTCTATGTATTAAGTCTAAAAGCTAAGGACTGAATGGGAGGAAAAGATAATAAAACTGGGCGATTCATTTTTGATGAAGGGGACAGCTGCCTGGTTTCGAGTAACAGACTCAAGTTTGTGGATGAAAGCCCATCTAAGATTCAAGAGAACATCTTCTTCCTTGAACAACCACAGTATGGATGGATTACAGTCGTAGACGTGTGCACTTCCTACAGCACATCCAGGAAAATCATGAAAAACTTTACATGGCGAATTTTTCAGGCACTTTAAGAGAAGCAAACAGGGAAGCTTGTGGAGCCTTATGGAGGAACGATCTGCATCAATGCTGCTGCAGGTCAGCTGAAGGTTCCCTGTTTGATGCCATGCAACGCTCCTTTATATAAACGCATGTGGAGACTCTTCTCTTTTATATCAGCATGCACACAACGTTACCTCATTTTCTTTTTTCTTTTTGTTGTCGTCTTCTTCAGCTCTCATCCTCTTCTCCTGGATTATGGTTTGTTTCACCAGAAGTGCTCTGGCAGTTTATCGTCAAAGTTGTTTCGGAGCATTTCAGTCTTGAATGTTTAAGGAGAACAGCAACATTTCTTATTTCGGAGATCACGGCATGTCAAAATAGTTCAGCATTATGGCCTAAACAGCTATGAAATAGCTACGTATACTCAATGCATGACGTCTATTAAAATTGCTTGCAGTTTTTGATGGAGCACGGGGGAAACAGAGGAGAGATGACGTTAAGTATTTCCGTGGAAAAATGCATGACGGAGGAAACTGTTAGAAGGAACTGATGTACTTAAAACAGAAGAAATCTTTAAAAAGAATTACTCTGAAATATTTTCCTCCTTTCTGTATTTCCAATAACTTTGAAGACCAGTGCATGGGAAGGCTGATTTTTCTTTAAGTAGAAGAAAAGGTATATAAAAATGAACAAAGTTCGTAAAGTATATATCTAAAAATTTGTTTTCAGTGCCTTGAAGCCCGTCTCGTTATAGAATTGACTGAAGTGCCTCCTGTTTTAAGAGCTTACGTCGTGCAGCTTAACGTCTCCTGTTATTAATATGCACTGATCCCATATATCTGCCACTGAAGGGACAGTTTGCTCCATATTTTCAGTCCAAAAAAAAACCCATTTTCTATCTTGTCGATGACACAAGGCTGCAGCAATTAATCATCCTCGTTAGCAGAAAAAATCACCAATTTATTTGGTCAAATAAAGATGAAACCTACGGAGCTCCTAAAGGGACATGGAGGGAAAAAATAAACTTTTGCGAGATCCCGCAATAGTTTTGCAATAGTCCGCAATAGTTTTGCAGGATTTCACAATACTTTTGCGAAAACCTGCAAAACTATTGCGGGATCTCGCAAAAATATTGCGGGATCTCGCAAAAGTATTGCAGGATCTCGCAAAAGTATTGCGGGATCTTGCAAAAATATTGCAGGATCTCGCAAAAGTATTGTGGGATCTCGCAAAAGTATTGTGGGATCTCGCAAAAGTATTACGGGATCTCGCAAAAAATAAACTTTTGCGAGATCTCACAAAAGTATTGCGGGATCTCGCAAAAGTATTGCGGGATCTCGCAAAAGTATTGCGGGATCTCGCAAAACTATTGCGGGATCTCGCAAAAGTATTGCGAAATCCTGCAAAACTATTGCAGGATCTCGCAAAAGTATTGCGGGATCTCGCAAAAGTATTGCGGGATCTCGCAAAACTATTGCAGGATCTCGCAAAAGTATTGCGGGATCTTGCAAAAATATTGCGGGATCTCGCAAAAGTATTGTGGGATCTCGCAAAAGTATTGTGGGATCTCGCAAAAGTATTACGGGATCTCGCAAAAAATTAACTTTTGAGAGATCTCACAAAAGTATTGCGGGATCTCGCAAAACTATTGCGGGATCTCACAAAAGTATTGCGAAATCCTGCAAAACTATTGCGGGATCTCGCAAAAGTATTGCGGGATCTCGCAAAAGTTCTTTTTTTTCCCCTCCATGTCCCTTTAGGGGCTCCGTACAAACCAGTTTAAATAGGATGTTAAAGGAAAACTATTTGTTCTCACGTTTATCAGACTAAACTTTACATGTTTTAGGTCAGTGAGGATCACCAACATTATTTATACCTGCTAAATATAAGTGGGAGAAAAACTTGAGTTTGAAGCTTCGGGGAAAAGCCCAAACAGCCAAAGAGGCACAACTTTTAACATATTTGTTTACTGACATGGACTGAAAGGCCACTTAGAGGGGAAGAAGCCGTTAATTTAGAAACAAGAAAATTCAGTTTCAATGGAAACAACCACTGAGCGCCCCACCCCAGCTCTGAAGTACGGTAGTGGCAGAATAAGAGTGTGGAACTATTTTCTTCAAAAAAAAAGATGACATGATGACAAACAAATAATAGTTAAAGCAAAACTCAGGACATCAGCTAAGAAGGTCTGGACACACCTGTCTTCCAAATGACCCTTAGCATAGCGGTTCAGCTAACAAGCAGCTTAAGAAAAGAAGTCAGTGGTTTAAAAAGGTCACCTCAAAGACCCAAACTCCATTCAACAATGTGGGTCCTCAAACCAGACCCAGTTCCAACAGTTTGGTCTGGAGATCTGAACCAGAAGGAAAGCATTTTTAAAGGAATTGATACTAACCTAAAAATTAAAAAAGGTAAACAAATAAGTCGCATTCAGCAAATTCAGTCTGCTTTGAGAGTTAAAGGCGGTAATGCATGTGTTTGTAGAATGTAAATAAAACATCTGGGCTTAGCTGTATGTGCAGGCCTTCGAAATGAGAACCCACAACACAATAGGAGTCGTTATCATAGAACGCCAAAGGCATTGGTTGAATCCGCT